TTTTTTGGAAGAGAGGAACTTAACTGCACGCGTGAGCAGGGTCTGAGTCAGAGCCGCTGCCCAGCACAGATCTGTAGGGCCAGGAGGAAGAAGATGGAGAGAGAAAGGAGCTCAAAGGACCAGAGCGAAGCGGAGAGGGAAGTCGAGAGTCACGGAGATGGTTCAGGTGGAGCCTGCGGTCCGTCAGAATAATCAAACTGCGCTCTGACGCGTGAGCACATCGGAGGCTGGGTGTTTCCGGTTTTCCTGCTTTGTGTTCAGCATATGTGCGTGTACAGGCGTGTGAAGTAACAATAGCCCCTGGGGTAGTCGTGTTTCCCCGGTGCAGGGAGGGGACCAGGGGACTCGCCGGCTCGGCTGCACTCCTCCTCCACTTTCAGCCAGCTCTTCCTGCCCCGCCCTCTGGCTGAGGTCACCTCACAGGAAGTTATTACAGTGGCTGCCAGGTCCTGGTGGCAGACGTCGCTCGGTTCCCCTTTCCGTGCTGCGAGACTGCTGTGTCGCACTGCCAGGGAGCTGATGGGATTGCAGGCAGCTCGCAGCGCCTGTCTGGGACGAGCAGTGGTGGTGACGCTGCTCTGGTCTCGAGCTGTGGGCAGTAAATGGAGGGCTTCCTGCAGACGTGACAAGTGGCTTTATTCCCTGTCAAGGAAAAAACACAGATTCACATTTTCCCATTTTATTGCACAGAAAGCTTCAGATCCTTGTTTTTCGGTTGTGCTGGCCCAGTTTTATCGTGGTTTCCCCTCTGTGTGAATGTAGTTCGTTTTTTCCTTTCGCACCAGGCCTTTTCAGGAGTTGGGCCTGGAAAGGCGCTACATCTGGGGAAGGAGGGCTTGTGCGCACGCTCGGCCTCGGGCTCCGCGAGGGGTGGGCTGCCGCGAGCACAAGCAGAATCCCCCTGCAGGAGCCCGGGAGCCAGGAAATGTCATTCGAAATGTAAGAGCCGGACGGCTTCATCAGCGAGGGCAGGGAAGTGGCTCCGCTGCCGTCCCTGATCAGAGGAGCGTTGCAGCAGCGCGGCGGAGTATCGCTGTTCCGGGTGTTCGGGCAAACGGGAGTCCTGCTGCAGAGGGCTGAAAAACTCTTGGGGATCTCCGTGTGTTACACATACATCCGGCTGCTGCAGCTCGCGACGGTAAACCTCAGTGTGGAGACGGAGGCTCAGCGAGAGAGGGGAGAGACCAGACATCTGTGCCTCATGCTGATCTGGGGCAGCGTGTGCTGGCTGTTACAGGGCCTGTCAGAGACGCGCCCCAGGCACGCTGTGGAGCGGTTAGCGAGGGAGGAGCAGAGGTATGCCACATGGCACATGGTGGCACTAATGCAGACCGCCAGACACTCATGGGGTCTGTGGCTCCTCTGGACTTCCAGCTGCTGCTGAAGCGTGGTGGGGGATACAGCCTCTATTGCCAGCAGCTCTTCCCTCCTGCGGCAAGTGAGATTGTTTGATACAGAGTGCCCTCTAGTGGTCGCAGACGCACGTGTCTCCTGATGGCGGCACAGAAACGCATTCCCAGAAAACAGGACTAAATGGACAAGACTCCTTACTAAAAGTGAGTGTACTGACGTGCAGTGTCGTGGCGAGAGGGATCTTTCAAAGTCCCGGGTGTCTGTGAGACAGGATATCTTGCTTGATAGTAGAAAGGTTTTATCTGATGGTCCTCTGGCGTTCTCTCAGCTGGCTGCTTCCCAGACTGGTCCAGGTGCTGGCATGCAGAGGGCGGATCAGCATGTTCAGAACGCTAACCCTCCTCCTCCTCCTCCTCCTCCCTCTCCTCTCCAGGACCACGATGGGCGTCTTGGAATCTTGGGATCTTCATCTGTATCCGCTGTGCAGGGATCCATCGGAACCTGGGGGTCCACATCTCTCGGGTCAAGTC